GTAAAGGAGCACTCATGCACACACCTGAGTGTATTCACATGCTTTCTATCTCACATGCACACTTGTGCACAAGTGCTCTCTCTCTCACACACACACACACCATCTTCCACTCTCCCCCTCCAGAAAGGAAGACACTGACTGCTCAACTTGGCAAACCCACCAGCATGTGTGGCATTTTGCTTTTGCACGGACTTTTGCATTTCCTGGTTCCACCCAACCTGAAACTGTTTGGGTGCCCCTGGAGCACCAGTGACAGCTCTAGTTGTTACATGCCTCCTGAGTGACTCAAGTCTCCCGTTAGAGACACGGGGGTACAGGCATCCGTACGGATCCTAAATACTCATGAACACCATGGAAGGTCATCTGCACACACAGTGCTGAAGAGTCCAAGTTCAAAGACGTGTAAGTAGTGGGTCATTTACTTTTAGGAATTTTACCTTCTGTTTGGTTGTTTAAATGTTCGATTAGGTTGTTTAAATGGACATTGTTTGCCCAGGAAGTTTAAAATTGGTGGCCACATGGTTGACTGGACTGAAGAAGACAACAGGCTGGCTGCTTTGGTGGAGGCAGAAGGATGAGTCCAAGTTCAGGGAAAGTTCTAGGAGCAGCTGCCCACTGGCCTGTTCAAGCCGGGGAGGCCAGGAGAGGTCAGGGTGGCCTGAGGCAGGCCCTATGCCCCTCTGTTGCTGGGTACAACTTTTACCTTCTTTTTAAATTTTTCACTTATACCAATAATACAAGCTTAGTGTTAAAGAATTCAAGGAGTCTATACAATGACAAGTAAGAAAGGAAAAGTCACATAAAGTCCTATCGCCCGAGATAAACAATAATTTAGGACGTCCCTTTTTGGGGCACTGCTTTGCATGAGCACCCACACAGCCACAAACGCACGCAAAGGTTTTAAAATCTGCTTTATTTTTGGGACTTCTACTCTGCTTTCTATCTCGGCCTTCCCCCAGAAATTACCAAGTCAGCCGCCCTGAGTTCATCCTCCCAGACCTCTCCCCGTATGACGTACAGAGACAAGCACATGGCTCCCTGGGGGTGTCTCTTCTCATTCTTTGGTATTTCCAAACATGGGATTATCCCACACACTGCTTTACATCTTGCTTTCCGTGTGTTAGAGAGATTCCTCTTGGCCTTGGTGGTAAAGATCTAGCACATTCATTTGAACAATCGTGTAATATTTTAGAGTACAGATTTATTTAACAGCTCCCTAACTGGTGAGCAGTTACACTGTTTTGGGGTTTTTGTTTTTATTGCTATCACTTCTGCTACAACAAACATTTTCAGATCTCGTATATCTCTGAATAATGACGGTTTATTAATCCGAGGCACTCCAGAATGGGAGTGACAATCAAAAGGTATGTGGGTATTTTTGTTTGTTTTAACAAAAGTTAAAAGATGGCTTTCTAAAAGAATTTAAAAGATTTTTTTCTTTCAGTGATATTTCATATTTCATTTGCTTGATAAATATTTATTAAGCATGAACTCTGGGTCAGGCACTGCTTTAGCATTTTGGATTCAACAATGAATGAAAATCATAGAGATTTCATCACAGGAAAGGAGGAGGGAAGAATAACTGAAAAAACAATAACTATGATAAATACTTTACTACCTGACGTGTGTGAAAATCAGCTTTCTCTTGTTTTATTATCAACAATTGGTATCATTTCTTTCATCTTTTATCAATCATATTAATATAATCTGATATTTTATCATCTTAATTTGTATTTCCCAACTAGTAAGTCATTCTGGTATTTTCCTTATGTTTATTTACATATTTGGATTTGTGTGGCATTAACTTTCTATTTATAATCCTCACCCATTTTTCTGTTGAGTGGATTGTATTCTATCCTATACTTCTTACCAATTTTTATGAGCTTTGCATACATCATAAAAAGACATTTATCTCCCTTACGCTTTGCAAATCTTCACCCTAATCTACTGCTTATCTACTGACTTCATGAGTATTTTCTTTTACCACATAATACTTTTAATATTTATGAATTTGTACATCCTTTTGTTCACTTTTACCTTGTGGATACCCTAGCTTTGTTAATAGCTGTCACCAAACCCTAGCTTATATGTAGAATTTCCTAAATTTCTTCTAATAATATTTTTTGTATTTTTCATCAGTACATCTGAATTTTATTCAATATGGTATGAGGTAGGAGTTCAGTCTTATTTTCTTCTAGATGGGCAGTAATGTTTCGAGAACCGTTTATGAAATGCAACTCTTTTCATATATGCAGCACCCATACGTACCAGAATCTGTTTGTATGTACATTATTCTGCTATGCTGATAATTTCCTGTTCCAATTCAATTTCATGCTGTTTCGAGTTTAGTCTTCCTTTTTCATAACTTCAAAGCTAGGTTGAAACTTCAGATAATTTTGTCCAATTAAAAACTGTAGTTATAGGCAGCTCCTGTAGCTCAGTGGGTAGGGCTGGCCACATACACCAAGGCTGGCCGGTCTGAGCTGGCCCAGGCCGGCTAAACAATTACAACTGCAACCAAAAATAGTTAGGCGTTGGGGTGGACACCTGTAGTCCCAGCTACTTGGGAGGCTGAGGTAAGGGAATCACTTAAGCCCAGGAATTTGAGGTTGTTGTGAGCTGTGACGCCATGGCACTCTACCCAGGGCAACAGCTTGAGACTCTGTCTCAGGAAAAAAAGAAACAACAAAAACCCTGTAATCATAATTGAAAGTACATTTAATTTATAGTAAGGACAAGGAAGAATTCCTAATCAAGAAAGAAGAGATTAAAATAGTTGCAAGACAAGATTACATAAAACTTTATGGCAATAAATTAGAAAACGTTGAGGAAATTCAAAGTATCCCAAGAATTATATAAGTCATCAAAATGGCACAAGGAGAAGAAAAAATGAGAATAAATGATTCCCATAGATGAAAATGGAAACTTGTTTAGAGATCCTGTATTGAAAAGGACCCCAGAAACAGATGTCTTAAGAGCTGAGTTCCATCTATCCTTTAAAGAACAGACAACTGCAATCTTATTAAACTACTCAGGACCTTGGAAAAAGATGGCTCTACAATATATGTTAGGGAGCCAGCATGACCTTAAGGCTAATAGACAGATCTCGCTTGGGAATCTATGTTCTCATTCTAGGCAAGATGTCTGTAACTAGGACCCATTCCACGTGTCAAAAAGACTAATGTATTGTAACCAAATAGTTTTTATTCTGAGAACACAGGATGTTTAAATAGCAGAAAATTTACCAACATAATTAGTTTTGTCAACAAACTGAAGAATAAAAGTTATCACATTGATAGATACTAATAGACACCCGATAAATTTCAGGACCCATTCCTGATACGAGCCCATAATCTATTATCCAAACTTCTGGAACCCTAAATATCTGAAAACTGAAGAGCTGCTTGTCACTTTGGCTATATCTGAAATTATTGTAGTCTTTTTTTTTTCAAAGTGGGTTTGAGGAAAGTTGATATGAGGAATGTGCTTTTAAGTCTGGAAGCTCTGCCAGATGTGTGATACTGTACACTGGCTCTAAGACGCCACTGATGGGAAGACTAGTGCTTATGTTTCACTAAAGAGGAGTAAGAGGCAGCTCTTAACCACACTCCAGAGCATTATCAAGGTAAGACACCTCCTGGTGTCCGAGATGTAGAGATGGGAAAGAGGTGTGTCCTAGACTTGATGGAATATGGCGCATATATCCAAAGGAGATCCTCACTACGGACTCCCCATTCAGACAGGAGGAGGGACTGAGGTGCTTCCTCTACGAATGTCCACCTCTCGGGAGTGCACCAGATGTGAGCGCAGGAGTGTGATGGTCTTGAGAGCTGGCCTTGCCCTGGCTGCTTGTTTGACTGTGAGCAGACTCTTTAACCCTTCACATCAACCCTCCCTAAGCTGTAGCCACTGGACCAGGTGTCCTCAAACTACAGCCCATGGGCCACATGTTTTTGCTGCCGCTGCCTGTCCTGCTTAGCAGCCAACTCGTCCTGGGACCTGCAGTCAGGTCCTCCAATGGTCTGAGGGACAGTGAACTGGCTCCCTGTTTAAAAAGTTTGAGGGCCCCTGCACTGGACTGTTGGTGGTGATGGTGTGGCCTCTAGACTCTTTTCCACTTCCGACACCCTAAAAGTCTTCACCCAAGGAAACACTCGATCATATTTTTCTACCCTCTAAAGACTCTCCTGAGGCTCAGCACCTGTGGCACAGTGGTTATGGTGCCGGCCACATGCACCAAGGGTGGTGGGTTTGAACCCGACCTGGGCCAGCTAAACAACAATGACGACTGCAACCAAAATATAGCCAGGCATTGTGGCAGGTGCCTGTAGTCCCAGCTACTTGAGAGGCTGAGGCAAGAGAATTGTTTAAGCCCGAGAGTTGGAGGTTGCTGTGAGCTGTGACACCACAGCACTGTACTGAGGAGGACATGGTAAGACTCTGTCTCAAAAAATAATAATTATGATAAAGACTCTCCTGAGTTGCTCTGAGATGCTGCGCTTGGCCCTAGAGGCCTGTAGTCTCAGTCTGCCCTAAGTGCGCAGCATTTCTCCTGAGACTTTGAGCAGGAGAAGCAAACCTCAGACGTGTTCCAACAAACCCCCTGTTTACAAAGGAGCTTGCAGAAGAAAGGCGACCTTCACAAGTGTCAGGGCCAGTGGCCAAATGAAGGCTAAACTCAGACCACCAGGCAGGTGGCCAGGCTCCTCTCCACAGAACGGGGGGACCTACCCTGGAAGATTCTGGCAGTTGCCTCAGGCCAGGTGATTTCTGAGTCCCAGATATAGTCCTTTCTCCACTCCGGGCCCCTGAGAAAAGATGGACACAAGCTTTGCTCTCCTGCCCTCTCCTAACCATGTTCTGACTCTGAGGTCTTTGCCGCCCTCTTTTCCATCCGGTCTTTCTAACTGGCCACCTGGAAGGGGATGGGAGAGCTCCTCTGTCCTGAGGATCTGGGATCCATGACCTCACTCCATCACAGGCCCTCTGCTCCCCGACAGGATGGGACTGGTGAGCAGCAAGAAGCAGGTGAAGGAGAAGGGCAAGGGCCGATGGAGCCCGTCGAAGGTCAGCACCCCAAGCAAGACGCCCCCACCACTGCCACCCCTGGTGAGTGATCAGCCCCTGGGCATAGGTTACTTAATCCCTTCTGTGCCCCAGTCTCCAAAAGTCCTTTGTGATAGGGATGTAATGATGTGTGATGGACAGGTGAGTGTGCGATGGACTATAACGTGCACAAGACCAGCCATGGTCAGCTCCCACAGCACCAGCCATGGTCAGTCCCCACAGCACCAGCCATGATCAATCCCCAGGAGACCAGCCATGGTCAGCTCCCATAGCACCAGCCATGGTCAATCCCCAGGAGACCAGTCATGGTCAGCTCCCACAAGACCAGCCATGGTCATTCCCCATAAGACTAGCCATGGTCAGCTCCCACACGACCAGCCATGGTCAGTCCCCAGGAGACCAGCCATGGTCAGTTCCCACAGCACCAGCCATGGTCAGCTCCCACGAGACCAGCCATGGTCAGTCCCCAGGAGATCAGCCATGGTCAGCTCCCACAAGACCAGCCATGGTCAGCTCCCACAGCACCAGCCATGGTCAGCTCCCACGAGACCAGCTATGGTCAGCCCCCATAGAACCAGCCATGGTCAATCCCCATGAGACCAGTCATGGTCAGCCCCTACAGGACCAGCCATGGTCAGCTCCCACAAGACCAGCCATGGTCAGCCCCCACAACACCAGCCATGGTCAATCCCCACAAGACCAGCCATGGTCAGTCCCAACGAGACCAGCTATGGTCAGCCCCTACAGGACCAGCCATGGTCAATCCCCATGAGACCAGCCATGGTCAGCTCCAACAGGACCAGCCATGGTCAGTCCCCACAAGACCAGCCATGGCCAGTCCCCACAAGACCAGCCATGGTCAGCCCCTACAGGACCAGCCATGGTCAATCCCCACAAGACCAGCCATGGTCAGTCCCCACAGGACCAGCCATGGTCAATCTCCATGAGACCAGCCATGGTCAGTCCCCATGAGATTAGCCATGGCTAGCCCCCCAGTAATTGCTAGCCAGTGTCCATTTCTCAGGGGTGGCCTTGAAGGGAAAAAGAAACATGAAAATTCAGCTTGGGCTGAGGGGGTGTGAGGAAGGGACAGAGCTAAGTCTGCTGCCCCTTCCCTCCCAGAAGGTCCTGGAGACCATTGTCCCCTGCTTGGAGTTGCTGCTGGCATTCCAGAGAGCTGCTCTCCTGGGACCCGTACCCTAAAATGGAAAGTGCTTCTCCTCACCTCCCTAGAAGCCTCTCAAGTGTGTCTGAAGCCCTGGAAGCATTTTAAATGCAGAAAAGTTTCCAAAGAAAGAAAAAAGTAAAATTTGAAGTGAAAACGTTTCCTGGCTGGGCATTCATTTTCCCTGTCGCCCAGTTCTGGTTTGTTTGTAAAGCAGCAAGCACCGTTTGCTGCATTTCTGAAGAGCATTGTAGGTGACCATTAGTGCTCACCACTTTCTGAGGAGGTCCCGCAGACAGTGCAGCTGCCGTGACCCAGGTTTCATCCCACCAGCCGCGGTCTAAATGCACTCAGAGGTGTGTGTTTCTGTCCCAGGTCCTCTTCGGCCACCTCACTCCTCCACCTCCCGAGGAGGACTGCCCAGATGAAGGTAGGAGGGGTGTGGTTTGGGGAGCAGAGGCTCTGTAGCTCCGCTCCAAGGCTCTGGGTTCGTGGACTTGGAACAGGGGACAGTTGGGAGCAGGTTTCCCAAGGAAACGGGACAGGACCCTCAGGGGCTAGAGAACCCCATGCCCCTGGGGACCCCTTGCCAGCCTCTCCAGGAACCAGACACAATTTCCTTTAGCTTGCCTGAGCCCGGGTGGGAGTTTTATAAAAAGACTATAAATAGGGCGGCACCTGTGGCTCAAGGAGTAGGGCGCCAGCCCCATATGCCAAAGGTGGTGGGTTCAAACCCAGCCCTGGCCAAAAAGTGCAAACAAACAAACAAAAAACTATAAATATAAATGAGAAGGAAAAGAAAAGAGTCACAGGTAACACAAACAGCAGCATCAAACCCAATCTTTCAGAGTCTAACTCCCAGCCTCAAAAGCCGGGCCAGTCTCTCTGTGTCCCTCCTCCGTGGCCCTGGTCTGCTCCGTGTGGGACCATCTTCTTCTCTGCTGCCTTCCCAGCCACCTTTGAGAGCCACCGTGACAACCTCCTCACCATCTGTGCCCCGTCCCTGGGCTAGATCCCTCTCTGCTCTGCAGGGTGCCATGGTGATTTAGCTTAGCCTTCCTGGGTGGGGACTCCAGGGCTCCTCCAGGGCTCCCAGAAGAGTAGCTTTGTTCAGAACTGGCTTCCCACAGCTTCCTCACCACCCATGTCCACACGGCCCTGGGAAGGTCTGCCTGCCCAGCTGGGGCCCCATTGTTAATCCAGCCCCAGGGTGTGCATCGAGTGCACAGCTCTGCCCAGAACTGGGGGGATGAGAGTAAATCATGCTCCTTCCTGAAAAGCCCGATCCTGTCACACTCATGAGCAAAGCACTAGAACCAGGTAGTGCCCTCCCCTGGCGCCCCTCAGTCACTGTTGATCTCCAGCAGGGACAGGAGAGCACATCCAGCCAGGGGTTTCAGTCTCCAGAAAGGAAGCTCAGAGCAAGGAAATAAGCTGACTGTCTTTAGCACAAGGACTGACAGCTCAGAACCACAGGCAAGGTGACCAGTCAGGAGGGTCACTCTTCAGTGGCAAAACTGAGTCATCTAAAAGCTCAATAGCAGGGACAGTGGCAGACAAGATAGTGCCTCCACATGGAGCAGACCAGGGCCAGGTGGGAGGTGGCCTTCCCAGGAGGGGCCCTTGGCTCCCAGAGCTATCGGGAGAGCCCTGGTGACTAGCAGTGCTCATTCAAAAGACAGCACCAGGCTCCGGGCCTCTTTCCACCTCAGCTGCAGGGACCACCAAGGGCTGGGCAGGTTCAGAGGAGCTACCAGCCAGAAGCACTGTGGCAGGGTGCTGGGCACCAGCTGCCACTGTGTAAGGCCACCCACCTCGGAGTGGAGGCTGGGGGTGGGGTAAGGAAGAGGAAGAGAAAGGCAGTGCTTCAGAGCTGAGAACTTGGATAAGCTGGATGATGAGGGACACGTCAGGGCCGGCTTCCAAACTCGAGTCTGGTGCATCTGCGGCCTCCATGCCACTGGCACCAATTCCCCCATTGCAGCCACAATCCTGTGGCACCAGTTCCCCCACCACAGCCCTGTCTGCGCCTTAGGGTGTCTTAGTGGGAGCCAAGACGGGGATGGGGTGGCCTCTAAGGGCAGCCATGTGGTGCACACATGAGGACAGGAGGCCAGGCTGCCTGATGAAAGCGTCCCTGTCAGCTGGGGGAAGCAGGGGCCTCACATGGTAGGCAGAGATGGCTCCTGCCACACACTTACCCTGTCCCACCATTGCCCCCTCGTCCCTTCCAGAAGAGCACTTTGTGGTGGCCCTGTACGACTACACTGCCGTCAACGACCGGGACCTGCAGATGCTCAAGGGGGAGAAACTGCAGGTCCTGAAGGGGTGAGTGTCTGGGATGCCGTCCTGCATCTGCCAGACTGCTGCACTGTCCCTCTCCCTCACCCCATCCATCACACCTGCTACGACCAGCCCCAGAGATCTCCGTGGCTTGGTCCTCAGCCCCCAGTGTACAGCATTTTCTTAAACTTGAACTAGCTGTCTTCCTCTCCAAAGTCTTCCTGGTGCGGCAGTTTTCGTTCATGACTTCCAATGCATCCTTCAAAACCCAGCTCTAATGCCACCTCGTCCGTGCAGTCCTCCTGGGGTGTGTGGACCTCTCCCTCCTCTGTTCCAGCAGAGTTTGCCCAGTTATTCCATGAGAGCCTTGCACTTGAGTCTGTGGTGTCCATCCTTGTCTCTCTTTCCAGACGAGTTCTCGCACAGGATTGTACTCACCACTTCAGCTTTAGTTTATTCCCATTGTTCCTCCCAGAAGCTCCTTGAAACTCTCCTTTCTTTCAACTGTCAGGCTTCTCTTTTGTAGCCCTGAGGGTGTAATTTTGTCCTTGAAGTTCCAAAATCTCCTTGCGCCAAGTGCAGGATAGCCGTGTTTGGCTGTCTGTCGAAATTCCTCCTCACTCTCCCCCAGGCCGGAGCACCTCCTCCCCATCAGACGCTCAGAATCAGCTTGCGTGGGCCCCTTCTCTGTGCTGCGCCCTCCCCTCCACAATGCTCTGCCTCTGGGGAAGAGACTATGCGGTGGGGCTGTTCCACACCAGCCACTGTCACATCTTTGTGTTCACTTCTCCCCCTTAGAACCGGAGACTGGTGGTTGGCCAAGTCGCTGGTCACCGGAAGAGAAGGCTACGTGCCCAGCAACTTTGTGGCCCGAGTAGAGAGCCTAGAGGTTGAAAAGTAGGTGGACGCTGGAAACTCCTCCAGCTGGAGCCTGGGGAAGCCCCTGGGAGGGGACAGGGAATTAGATGGGTTGGGATGGCGCCCTCCTGGCTCCAGAAGTGTCTAGACTGCTGTGCTGAGCGCATCACTCCATCCAGCTGAGACAAGAGCTGTCCCTTCCCAGTTGCCCTAGGTGGCACTGTCCCTGTTGTCTGATGGCCTCGAGAGCTCAGGGCCAGGCACCCTTCCTCTGCTGCCTCTGGTGGGCAGGGTGAGCTTAGCCCTGGGGGCTCCCACAAGCTGGCACTAGTACAGTGCCAGCTCACAGGACAGCAGGACCCCAAACTCCTAACCCCTCACCCCTTGTCACTTATGTCCACATGTCCTGGGTCAGATCTGCAACCCACTCTCACGGCTCACAGAGCACACAATGTGGGCAGGGCTCTGCCCAGGACTGGGGAGGGGTTAGCCACAGGAAAGACACCTCCTCCCCTTCCTTTCCTGGCATTCTGGGCTCTGTGTCTTTCCAAGAGCACTTGGGGGCCATGGGGTTCTCCCAACCCCTGGCTAAGGGGGGCAGCCAGAGAGCCTGCTCCAAGAGTGTCTGGTAGTTCCTCTGACTCACAGCCAGGACGGGAAGGAGCTGGAGTGTGCGCAGGGGAGGGCCATCAGGTGCATTTTTCCAAAGCAGAATTAACAAAGGTCACCTGGATCATGACTCCATTTCATTCCAGAAGAGCAATTGGTGGGTGGGAAGTGGGACAGGAAGCTGACCTGGGAGCAGAAATGCAAAGTTTTATCCCTTGGGGACAAGGGATAGCTCAGGAGTGAGACTCTAGTAAGCATAAGAATATTGCCAGGGGCATGGCCACTCACGGAGGTTCACCTGCCTTTGCTGTTTTCCAGATGGTTCTTTAGATCAATCAGCCGGAAGGAGACCGAGAGGCAGCTTCTGGCCCCAATCAACAAGGCAGGCTCCTTTCTTATCAGGGAGAGTGAAACAAATAAAGGTAAGCGTGGGTGGCCCCCCACCCTCCCTTGCATGCCCTGGGGAGCCCCTCCAGAGGCCCTGTTCTGGGGTGAAGGAGCTGGTGAGGGAGACAGGTTCTTCCAGGCCTGGTATTCCCCCGGTTCAGGCCCTGTCCAGGAGCTGGCTTTGAGGTTGTCCCCATGGACAGGTCTCCCCTTCACCTGGGCTGGAAATGACCCAGCACATGGGAATCAGAGTGGTGATGGCACCCCCATCCCCGCCACCCTGACTATGTCAGCAGGAAGCTGGTGGGGCCAAGGAAGGAACATCACCCCAAGCCTCAATCACTAGCCACACTCTGGAATCAGAATTGAGGAGCTCAGGGAGCCCAGCTTGGCACTTATCACCCGAGTCGATCTCCTTTCATCTCCATCTCTCACTCCAGTCCTGTTTTTCTAAAGCAAATCTCAGACATCCTGTCACGTCACTCTAGAAATGACATTTTAATGATGCCTATGGCTAAGGTGCCCTCTGGAGGGAGGGCCTCCCAAAGAAGGGGTTCTCTTAAGAGTGCAGTGTCTCTCCCTGGACAGGCTACCCCAGGAGGCCAGTCCAAGCTGGGGATTGGCCAGACGGGGCCATAGAATGTTCAAACATAATCCCCTCCCCCAACACACACGATGCACACATATGCACAGGTAGTCTGTAACGCACATGCTGTGTACATACAGTCTCCTCAGAGCTGCAAAGCAGGCCCTGTCAGCCTGCATCTGGGTGCCACGGACAGCGGGTATAGACGGGAGGACACCAGCCTGAAAGCACAGGATGGACTGTTATAGCCCAGTGTGTCTCCAGGATGTCCCTGAGCCTCAGTTTGCTGTCATCTGTGTGAGGAACAACTGAGTTCCCAGTTCAAAGGCAGGCGTCCCCTCCAGTTAGGCGGTTCAGTCCTTGAGAGTCTTGCATGCCGTGGAGGTCCCGGACTCAGGTTCTGTGAAGCTGAAGCTAAGAGGATTCGAGGTCCTCCTAGAAGAAAACCAGACTGTCATGGTTATCAGGGACAGGGCCTTGAGGCCCCAGAGCGCAGGCCTGGGCAACGTGGCCCCGAGGAGGGCAGCGGGCTCCAGGCGCCGTGCACAGGGCGCGGCCTGCGGGGCGAGCTGGCTCCTCCGACTGTGCGCGGGGCGTAGAGGTGTCCGTGGCCCCGGGGCTGGGGCTGGGGCTGGCATGCGGAGCAGCGGTGTCCTGCTTTGAGCAGACGGTGAGAGAGGAACGTGTGAGGGAGACTGGACGTGCCAAAGGACTCGAGATACGCCAACAGTTCTGGCAGGAAAGAGCGGGCACCGTAGACAAGACCGCAGAAACTCAAGCGAAAGAGAAAGCGGCGCGGAGCCCGCCCCCCAGCGGGGAAGAGCGGCACTGCTCCCGGGGGCGCGGTCGGGTGGGGGCGGGGAGCCCTTAGCCTGCTGCTAATTTTCAGGACCTTGGCGTCCTGTCCTCCCAAACAAGCACGGAGGGGGTCCATGGTACTCAGAGAGCTGGACAGAGGCTTGTTATAAAAACATCAAGTTCCTGGAAAGAAGTTTCTCAACCACAAACTCTTACCTCCTAAATTGTCGGTAACCCTGGACATCTGCTACAACTTTCCTGCAAGAAAACATGAACCTGATGACAAAATACACGTGTGAGCGTGACAGGCAGCCAATGAACTCTAACAGAACCCGTGGGAGATAGGCTGTCATGCGGTCTGCTGTGGACGTGGGCACCGGAGGGTGTGGTTCACTGTTGTTCACCGGAGCAGGGACTGGCCTTTTAGCTAGAGAAATAAATGAAGTTCCTCCACCCTCCAATGACCTTACATTTCTCAATGGTCCATAACAAGGAGTCCCTGAGTGATCAGGTGCCCAAGTAGAGGCCCACGTGATTGCTAAGAGACTATCCCACCTTCTGCAGAGTACTGGGGTCCCTGACTGAGTTTAGGGGGGCTCAAGGAGGATGAGTCAGATGGATTCAACAGAGAAGGCTTTGGGAGGGCCAGGGCTGAGATGAAGGCGGGAACTTGCCATAGAAAGGCAACAGTGGACAGCAGAAGTGGGGGAACTCTTTCAAAGCACTGAAAGGAACCCCAAATCCTAATGCTGTCTTTTCATCTGGGTGCCTGACTTCTCACACCTGTGTCTCCATTCACCTCCAGGTGCCTTCTCCTTGTCTGTGAAGGATGTCACGGCCCAAGGGGAGATAGTCAAGCACTATAAGATCCGCTCCCTGGAGGAAGGCGGCTATTACATCTCCCCTCGGATCACCTTCCCCTCGCTCCAGGCCTTGGTGCAGCACTATTCCAGTAAGCGGGGCAGGCGCTGGTGCCAGAGGAGCGCTTGTGTCTCTCTATTGCTAAGATCCCAACTGTATGAGTGATTGGTGCCACTTGGGGAGGGGGACAGTCATCCCACAACTGGACCTAAAGAATGGCAACTCTCAGCACAACCATTCAAAGCTGGTGGCCCTGAAGTACTCTGCTCATGGAGCATGGGGACACCTGGAGGGTAGCAGGTACCTTCAGTCTCCAAGAAAGCAGGTCGATGATAGCATGCCCTGCTCTGTGCAGGATTAATGGCAAGAGCTGAGTGTGTATGTGCACGTGCGCTTTGAGGAGCAGGAGTGGGGTGGGCGGGCAGTGAGAGGACACAGCTCGGGATGCTTTGGCTCCCCAGAGACAGCCTGGCTACCCTGGGAATATCCAGCCCCACCCTTTCTTCCCTAATGCAGAGAAGGGGGACGGTTTGTGTCAGAAGCTGACGGTGCCCTGTGTGAGCCTGGCTTCTCAGAACCCCTGGGCCCCAGACGAGTGGGAAATTCCCCGGCAGTCTCTCAAGCTGGTCAGGAAACTTGGATCTGGGCAGTTTGGCGAAGTCTGGATGGGTGAGTATATGTGTGGCAGGAGCCCCTCTCCCCACTGGCGTCCTACAGCCCAGACTTGGTTGCAGAGGGCAGAAGGCTCAGCATTTGAACATTGTGTCATTCTTCCCCGTGAAGCCTCATGAGGGGCAAGGACAGAGGCTGGTCTACCCATTTGACAGATGAGGTCATGGAGGCATAGCATAGCTGCTGTGGTCGATCATGGTGCTCGAGCAGGAATAGAATCCAGCTCTTCCAGCCCCTGGGTTGCTTCCCTCCTTCCTTTTCCAGGGCCCACAGCTGGCTTTGCCACTGACTTGTGTGTGCGTGTGCATGCAGATGTCTCGCTGGGTCCCCCTGTCTTTAGCTCACCCAGCTGGAGACAGTAAGATAAACCTTGTTCATGAACTGGAGCTCCTGAGTCTGATTGTGGGCTGAGGCTGCCACTCGCTGGCTGTGGCACTTACCTTCCAGGACCCAGGGTCCTCAGCTTTTGACGCCTCGGTTCCCAGGGACGCTACCTGGCGCTTACGTCAGTCTGTGTGAAGGGATAACAGCTGAGCACCTCTCCGTCTCCTGAACAGCTTCCTTGTTCTCCCTCCCCCCTCCGGCTCAGGTTATTACAAAAACAACATGAAGGTGGCCGTCAAGACCCTGAAGGAGGGAACAATGTCTCCAGAAGCCTTCCTGGGCGAGGCCAACATGATGAAGACCCTCCAGCACGAGAGGCTGGTCCGGCTCTACGCTGTGGTCACCAAGGAGCCCATCTACATTGTCACTGAGTACATGGCCAGAGGTGGTGCCCCCCACAGGGCTGTCCTCAGAGCAAGGCGGGAGGGGTGTGGGGCCAAGGCTGTGCCCTCAACTCAGGAGCAGCTCAGCCACCATTTCTGGGGTGTGTCGTCTGTGCCCAGCCCTGTGTGATGCCTGCTGGGAGGGACAGAGTATTGCGTAGGAGAAAGAGCAAGTGGCTAGTGTCCAGAGACAGGCGCTGGTTCCAGTCCTACTCCTCCCAGCCGCGAGGCCTTTACAGAGAGGGATAGCCAGTGAGATGACCTCTGAGGCTCACGGTGTGCTCAGGTTTTCATGAGACAGAGGCATGGGGTGGGCCTCAGCTGTTGACCTCATTCTCGCCCCACTCCGACCCTGACTCACACTGCTCCTGTAGCATCTTAATAATTGTCACCAAGGGGGCATAGTGGCTCCCCTGCCCGCCTCTGGGCTGCACCTCAGGTGAGTGCCCCTCCAGCTCTTTGATCCCACGTAGGATAGGCATGTCCCCCTGCATCAAGACCCATGGACAATCTGATGTTTTCTTACTGACACTGGGTCTTCAGACAGAGCCAGGTATCCATCAGTAAGGATCAAGGGAGTGTCCTGTCAGTAAAGGGCATTGACCTTAGAGTCACAACCAGAGTCCTGCTCTCAGCTCCCAGCTGTGTGACCTCAGACAAGTCCCTGCACCCAGCTGAGACCGGACTTCTTCTGGACAGCTGATGACAGATCAGCTGTCTGATATGACGGCTGTGCTGTGAGGCCTGGGGTTGGGATTTCTGTAAAGCGTAAGGCCCTCAGCAGCCCTACCTACTTCCTTTGCGGCGCACCGAGTGGTCTGAGAGAGCCTCTGCCCACTCCCTGCTCCCAGGTGGGGGCAGCGGACCCAGAAGAGGCTGGCACTGCGGGGGTCACTTTGCACAAGTGCAGCTCCTGCCTCTCTTGTCCTAGGATGCTTGCTGGACTTCTTGAAGACAGATGAAGGGAGCAGTCTGCCCCTCCCAAGACTGATCGACATGGCAGCCCAGGTTGGTGAATTACCAAGCCCCTCTCCTCTGTGTCCTGTGGCATAACCAGATCGGCTTAGATTTGAGATGGGCTGTGAAGGGCAGGAGACCGAGGTAATGACTGAGATGTGCAAGCATCAGAGTGGACATGGGCAGGTGGTGGCTTTGGCCCACCCAGTTCCTCCACCACGTTGGGTGTCTAAGTGTGTCATCTTGTTGTCTGAGATGGCTGCTTATTCACCATCCTGTCCTCTTCTCAGCCAGGGGGACAAGAGCCCGCCTTCCTCCCTCTAGGCACAGGTCCCTGAAGCCACCTACTGTTCTTGCCCCTGCATCCACCCGCAGCCCCCAGGGGACGTGGCCTCTGATTCCTATTACTAAGGAAGAGAGGCCGAGTGGAGGTGGTGGGAAAGCCGCACAGCTGGCCAGAGTTCTGTTTAGCGTGGTGTGGACAAGTGTGTTCTGCCGAGACCTTATGTCCACTTCAGATGGTGTAGGTGACTCTGAAAACACAGATCCTGTCCCAGGAGCCCCAAGTCCTCTCACAGCCCTGGGATTGCCCCCAGGCAGATGGGCAGGCACAAGCCTCACCCAAGTGCTAGGACTGCCACTTCCCTGAGCCCTAAACACTCACCACTGCTGCCATCAGGGAATCACGAGGCCCAGACCTCCTCAGCTGCCCTGGACTGGTCCTCAGTGTCCCCTGCGTCGCAGAGGAAACTCCCCAGACTCCGTGAGGTGACAAGCAGAATGCAGGGGAGGGGTCTTCCCTCTCTGAGGCTTTAGCTGAGGGCTCTAACTGGCAGGAAGCACATCTGGTGGCCCTGTGTGTGTCAGTTAAAACTGGAACTCTCAGCAGAAAAGTTTTGGTCTGTGGTCAGCCTGCGAGGTGCATGCCCCCCCCCGCCCCAGCTACAGAGAGGAAATCTGCCTTCCCCCCACCCCACACAGCCCTCCCCACCTCGTCCGGCCTTATCTGCTATTAGTATCACTGCAGGAACTGATGTCATGGTGCCTTTTTCCACTGAGGTGAGCAGAGATCAGTCTGAGCGGGCTGGTGAGGTGGTTTGGAGAATGAACGCTGGTAACTGGTGTCAGACCACACGACAGTGGCCTGTCCACGCCTGTTTTCCTTCTCCTGCCTTCTTGTGTCTCTCATTCAATCCTCAGTACAACCCCTAAGGAAACCTTGGGTCACCCAGGGGTAAAGGATGTGAAAAGCCATCTGAGTTTAATACCTAGATGCAATCACAAGCCTGGGAGTCAGGAAACCAGAAAATCAGAACCTCTCAGAAGAGCAGCTTCTGAACCATCTTCTGAGCATGCTAACACCTCAGGGTGCATGTGTGGGCACACGCATATGCACACACACACACACACACACAAATGCAACACCCTTCTGGATTCTTCTTCTTTTCTTTTCTATTGGATGAAATGCAAAGCCCCCCAGGATCCCTCCACCAAGGCCAGCTCTGGCCCACCCCATGAGGCCCAGGTGCCTTACTTTGCAAACCCATGTCACCATTCCTGTGCCACCCGCCTTGCCGTATCTCTGCCTCCTTGGCCGAGATTGGTGTTCATGACTAGAGACAAATGTCATTTGTGCGAAGGTTTCCCTGATGAGAAATTGCTGGAGAGCCCTTGGTTCCTGTGTTAATAATAGCCCCGTATGTGGTAGCTTCTCCTTGAAAGCAGATCTGGGCCCTATTTAATTTTGGGGGGTTTTTGTATTTTCAGTACTGCTCAATAAGTATTTGTTAATTCAGTGAGTACTGTTACGGGCTGCTCAGCCATGTTTGCATTCAATTTTATAGTCCACACAGTCCTATACTAATAGATATAAATTGATTTAGTGAGGGAAGGAATGAATGGATGGATGGATTCGTGAATTAACCAATGCCTGTGGAAGCATAAGGAGAAGTGGGGTCAATTCCAGTGCTGGCTGCTTGCACTAGCTGGTCTGAGGAGGTAAATTGGCTCTCTGCCTCAGTTTCTTCATCCATTAATTGGGCAAATAAATCCTTAGTTTCTTTAGCTAAAGGCACCAGAGCAGCTACAAACCACCATTCCTGGCCCAGCACTGGTGATCGGGGAACAGAGACAAGGGATCCTTCTGGATCCCACTCCTGCAACCCGGGTGCCTGCCATGGGCCAGATGCTCGGTTAGGCCCTCAGCCATGGCCACCTCATCCTATATGTGCCTAAACTGTGTGTCCTGAGATCACTCCCTTCCTAGTCCTGGATCAGGACTGTGACCCCTCAAGGAAGCAGCTGGAGGTCACCCATTTCTTGAGGGTGCTGGATCCAAAAACAGTGCCTCTAGCCTGGGGGGAGGGGACCCCCTTTCCCTTCTGTCCTGCTTCCTCTCTCCTCCCCCCAGGACACCTTCTCTCCTACCTTGGTTCTGCTCTCTTTCTTCCCTGCACCTGGAGACAGCTACCTGGAAGGATGGGGTGGTGGGAGGTTACATGTGGCCTCTTATCTCTGGTGACAATGTCTCCGCTGTTCTGGGCTGCTGGGGGCCTAGGGTTTGTCCCGCTGAAGGACAGCTAAGCCACCTTTCCACTCCTTTCCAAGAATGAGCTCCTACCCAGCAGCAGGGCCCCCCTATGCTCACCAACAGCAAACCAGAACCTCTCCCAACATGCAGATGGCAAGGCTGACCCTGCAGAGGCTGGTGGGCACTCCCTATGGGAGCTGTGCTGGATGGGCTCCATCCTGGTGTGGAGGCTGCCACACTGTCCTTCACTGTGTGCCCTGTTCCTTCAGATTGCAGAAGGGATGGCATACATAGAGCACATGAATTCCATTCACCGCGACCTCCGCGCAGCCAACATCCTGGTGTCTGAGACCTTGTGCTGCAAAATCGCTGACTTCGGTTTGGCCAGGATCATCGACAGTGAATACACTGCCCAAGAGGGTGAGCACAGCCCCACGCATGCAGGGGAGACCTTGGGCCTTACCTCCCCAACTCCCACAAGCCCCTTGAACTACCCCTTGGCATGACATAGCAGAGCCCAGTGTGACGAGAGCTGAGAGTTCTAAGGTTTCTACATTCTGGATTAGTATTTCGTGTTCAGCAGAGTAGTGATGCCTCAGGGTCTCCCACTGAGGAGGAGCTTTAGGATAAGGTAGGCTTGGAGAAACTGTAGTTCATCTCCCTCCCTCCTTGGAGAATCCCAATACAGATCAACACATTAAATGCACTGAAAAGTCCTGCAGCCAAGCAATAGTTCACATTCGCCTCTCCTGGTGCCTCTCAAATGAATTTCAGCCCCCAAAGCTGTTCCCACCTGGGTCTTACTAACTGCCCATGCAAATCGGCTTTCCCAGAGCACACTCGCAGCTCTGATGCATGAGCAGCAAACCCCACACCTGAATTAGGGTTTCCACAGAGGACTCTGTTTGCTAACACAACTAAGGTCAAATCCACTTCACAAGAGGTTCTGCAGTAGTCAGGGTATCTGTCTGCAAGTAAGCAGTATGTGCTGAGCATTTGAGTCAGCTGACACAGAAGGACAGACATGGTTTGTTCCCATAAGAGCCTCCAGCTTCTGGGATACTGAGGAAGCTGAGCCAGGGGCGGGAGGTAACTTTCAGTGGTCTACCCTGAATGCTGCCCAGGGCCATGGGCATCTCAGGGCTTCATGGGGCAGCAGGATGTGAGTCTTTCCTCACAGTGACCCTAGGGGGTCCAAGACTCATATGTCAACATCTCCATTGTGCAGGAACGGACTGACTGAGGCATGGACAGGTTAAAATGGACAGTCCCTGTTCTTAAACAAGGCCCATGTGCAGAGGGAAAGGACTCTTCCAATCCAGTTGGGCACAGGTGTTGGTTGTGAGCATGGCTGCTTACTATCTTCTTAAAGACCTAAAGGGCGTGACAGCAAGCACTATTGGTGTCCAGATCGCTCAGGGGTGCTGCAGACCCCAAGTCTGCTCTTACCTGGTCAAGGGTGTGTCATGGTGATTCTCTGGCTGCATCTTTGCTGTGTCCAGTGGCCAAGCCTTGTGAGGCCCAGCAGTGGGGGCCAGAGAGACAAGGGCGAGAGAGAGGGGGCAGGGGAGGCCGGTAACAGCCTCTCAAAGCTGCACGTGGCTTTTTCACAGGGGCCAAGTTCCCCATCAAGTGGACTGCCCCAGAAGCCATCCACTTTGGGGTGTTCACCATCAAGGCAGACGTGTGGTCGTTCGGCATCCTCCTGATGGAAATCGTCACTTACGGGCGGGTGCCGTACCCAGGTAGGCGCTGCCCTGCAGCTCTCATGCTCCCTGCTCTCCTGGGACAGCCCTGACAGCTGAGGGCCTGTCCTTGGTGCCTGTGGCTGCCACGTTCAGGACAGAGGCCCAGGCATGCCATTCCAGGCAGTTCTGCCCCTTTTATTGACACTGCTCTGGGCCACAGGGCTAGGTCCCCTTCCTCCAGCAGAGGTCAAATGGGCCCCTCAACTGGAGTCACGGTAAAGGTCAGGTCTGAACTCAAGTTCACTCCCCAAAGCTCCATTGTGAGCAGGCAGAATGGTGAACTCCAGGTCCCCAGGCCCCTCTCTCCCCATCAGAAGGGCTAGGACAGCCTCTGTGAGTGCTCAGGGGGCCCCTGCCCAGTGAACGGTCTTCAACTGTGTCCTGGGCAATCACAGATAATCAAGATGGAGCCACATCCACGGAGTAAGTGCCCCACATTCAGGAGAAAACTCCATAGACCTGCGTCCAGTTGCTCCCCAATAAACAAACAAACAAAAAACATAAATGTAAAGGGATGTTTAAAGGTGGCACCAGCTGGCCTGCCGGGTGCCCCAGGACTGCAGATGGCACCGCTTTTGTGCTCAGGTGGGCTCAACGTCCCCTCTGCCTGCAGGGATGAGCAACCCAGAGGTCATCCGCAACCTGGAGCGTGGTTACCGCATGCCGCGCCCCGACACGTGCCCGCCCGAGCTGTACCGCGGCGTCATCGCAGAGTGCTGGCGCAGCCGGCCGGAGGAGCGGCCCACCTTCGAGTTCCTGCAGTCAGTGCTGGAGGACTTCTACACGGCCACCGAGCAGCAGTATGAGCTGCAGCCCTAGCCCGCCCCGCCCACCTCCTGGGGAGCCTAAGAGACAGGACGGGACAGGGGCGCCCACTGCTCAGACGAGGTAACCCAGGCCAAGGGGGGCTTGGCAGGTGGTTCCCTGCAGGGACTGGAGCCTGATCCCGGTCGCTGCCCACCCATCCACGGCTGTGTGCCCTTGGGCAAATTTCTAGCCTGTGTCTCGGCGTCCTCATCTGTAAAACGCGGAAGGGCTGAATGGGTCCCCAAGTGGTCGTATGTCTTGTCCCGAGGACTAAGTTAGGCCCAGTAAGATGTTGGAAACAGTGCCTGACACTCTATTAAGTGGACTGTCATCATGGCTTCTGTGCGGACACCATAACCAGGAAGTGGACCACAGGGGACCTCGAGCCCCGCTGCTCCTACCAGTGGGGAACCCAGCCCAGGCACCCCACTTTCGGCTGCAGAACATGGTACCTCTGATGTCCGCTGCAGGGCAGCCCTAAGCAGGCTGCGCCCCAGCAGTTAGAGGCTGTTCTGTAATAAAGTCACCAGAGTCTGACCTTTACCGTGTCTGGTGATGAGCCTGGACAAGGCATATGTGACATGCGGAGCGTGAGCGAGTGGCGCCGGAAAGCGCAGACCCTGCAGTCACTGCCTCTCCGGCCAGCCCGCGCAGGGCCAGCAGGGGGCGTCCTCGCCTCGCAGATCTGCGGCCCTGGTCTCAGCTGGCCTGGGCGACAGCAGGGGACCGAGGAGACTATCAAGGAACACTGGCTCCCTACTTGTCATGCTTTTTGTTTTGTTTGTAATAGAGTGGATTTTTTGAGCACTTTATATTTACGGGGAAAATAATCCAGAAAATAGTCCTGCAATGGTATGGAACTTCTTACTGCCTTCCCTTAAAGATCGGCGCACTGCTGTTGAGGGAAGTCCCTAGTTTACCTTAGGGTTCATCTTTGGGCTACATCCTGAAGGTTTTGACAAAAGTGCCATGACATGTGCCACATGTGCCACAGCATCACACGCCAGATGGTTCCACTGCCCTAAAACCTACCCTCAGCTGTGCACACAGTTTCCTGTCCCCTGAAGCCTCGGCGACCAGCTTGTAAGGTTTTGACTGCTCTGACTCTGCAATAACCCTACGAGGTAAGACGATTACCACCCCATGTACAGAGGAGGAAACTGAGGCACAGAGCACTCACACACACCCTAGAGGGCTGGCAGGGAGAACCCCGGGGGGTCAGCCTCTGCAGGGATCAAAGCATGTGGTTTGCACAGAACCAGCTCACAGCTGTTCTCAGACCAGGTCCCAGGACACTGGGAAAAAGGGGGCTGGCTGCCTGGGCACAAGCGAGTGCCCGGGGCATGGCTGATGGGAATTAAGCAGGAATGTGGGACGCCATGGAGTCACTGTTCCTGCCAGTGGTGGCATCCAGCAGAGACAAACCTGGGGCTCACCTGCCTGGGGTTCTGAGAGGACAGGGCCAAAGAGGGAGCTCATACTGGAGGATAAGGAATAGGTCCCTTTGTCCCCCTATGAGCAGGGACCTCGGGCTGAGCACCACCTCCCGGACCTTCACGTCCCCTGAAGTGACTTCCCACAGCTTGGGCCACAAGCTGTCCAGGCTGTCCATGGGTCCCAAGGCTTTGAGCTGGCTTTACTTCCCTGGACTCCACTACCTTTCCTTAAAGATGACAAGAGTCACCCAATGCTTCCCAAACATGACACTGGGTGGGGCTTTGTTTTAAAATACACCTTCGCCTACCTCTCCTTTGGGGATTCTAAGGCAGCAGGTCTAGGCTGGACTGGGAAACCTCATCTTTCACAGGCACCCTCAACCCTACCACGGTTCTCAGCCCTGTGGCTTGTTACAATCACCAATACCTGGATTCCAGGTGGGGCTAATGTGCCTGAGGACTGAGAACTCTGGGCTAGGCTGCATGGGGTTTGGCAGGGCCCTTCCCAGGAGAACTGGCTCTGGTCACCTGAAGGGCTGATCTGTGTCAGGTCCTGGCCCCGCAGGATGCTTGTGGATTTTTCCAACTCTGATACACAGGTAACAACCTGTGAAAATTAGAAAAGAACCCACAAGACCAGCACGTCCTCAGAGGCTTGTTCTGGGGTTGTCCTGGGGAGGGTGAGGCAGGTGCCCAGTCTTGCAAGATGAATGAGAGTTTATCCACTAGGAGGCGCACTTGCCCAGGTGGTGCCGGAATGGAACTGATTTCCCTGTGTTTTTGTTAGGGGCGTAAGTAAGTTCATAAGGACAAAGAACCTTCTAATTCCCAGTGAGAAAGTGAAATATGTGAGTCTGTGAGGAGAGAAGAGGGAGAGGGAGGAAGGAAGGAGAGGGAAAGATAGATTGAGAGGCAGAGAGAGAGAATGAATGGGCGTCATTTCCTGGTCTGTGACTTTGTTTTCCTGGTGGAGGAGGCTTCCCGTGATGCGGGAGTCTGTATTCGCTCAGTTACACATCTGCGCACCTGAGGATGTAGGTGAGGGGCCTGTGCCTGTGGTGTCTATTGCTGTACCCTCACCTGGAGCTCAGGTTAGTACAGCCGCACAGTGGGAGCTGCCACTAGGGCCCCCCTGCAGGTGTCCAGCTGGGCCCCTCTTCTGTCCTCCCCTTGGCTTTCAGGTAGACAGGTTCCCTGAAAATAGCAGAGCTCTTAATGGACAGTGTTTCTAAAGCAATTGCTCCTAAGTGCATAGGTACAGCACTACACAGTTTACAAGGGGGTTTCCCTGGCTTGCCTCTGGGGCGGAGGTCCTCACAGCAACCTCTCAGATGTGTGGCTGTCTTCAAAGGCAGAGACACAGAGCCTGTCGCTCACCAGTGGGTCCCTAGAAAATGGGGTCCAGGCCTCTAATCCTGGGAGCAGCTCCATGCCCAGCACATGAGGGGCCCGCAGGGCACTGAGGTTCAGTGTGTTCTTGAGAACAGGGCAAATGTGACTGCACAAGGCCTGCCGGGTGCCCCCAAGGGGCAGTCCTTTCAGTGAGGTTAAGCAAACCGTTCCTGGAGGATGACAGGGAGGTTCACGAAAGCCTGGCAGAAAAGAAGGGAGGAAGAGAAACATCTGGTGCTGATGGGGCCTCCAGGCTGACCAAGGCCTCCAGGCTGACCGGAGCCTCATGCTGGAATGTGTGCAGTGGCCCCACAGAGCTGATGTGGCCACAGTCCCGTGCTGTGCCTGAGGTCTTGAACTCTGCTAATGACGCACAGAGTAATGACTCCACCTGACACCAGTCAGCGACCTGAAAAAGGCTTTGCAGTGTCCAGGAAATAGTAAGTACGACAAGACTCCGCTCCCAAGGAGCTGTCCCCTGTGCCTTCAAAGAAGCAGGGGTGTCACCCATGCCCACAAACAAGGATGCCGATGGCAACCCAATACCAGCAATGCCACGTGCAGGCCCTGTGCATGCATTTCATGTGACAGTCCCATTTAGCCAGCCTGGCACCCTAAGGAGCAGATTCGGTTCCTGGTCCCATTTTATAGATGAGAAAACTGAGGCTCCTAGGACTGAGGTCACCCACCATGCTCACAGAGCTGGGGCATAAACCCAGGTTGGCCTGACCATGTCTCAAGCCTCTGTAGAACCTGCTCCAGCCAGAGCTTTCTAGAGAGGGAGGGAACAAGGTGTTAGGTAGCAGGTCACTCGGCTGGCTGGAGCCAGAGCTGCAAATGGCCCCCAGCAAACCCTCTGGCTGGGCTCCCTTGCCAGGTGCAGGTCAAATTGTAAAAGAAGAACAGGATTGGGGGGGTTAGGTCAGGTCACCTCACCTTGCAGCTCTGCCTCCTCCTGGCTGTGGGATCCTTAGTGAATTACTTAGCCTCTCTGAGCCTCAGTCTCACCATCTTTAAAATGGACACAGCATGCCTGTCTCAAAGGGAAGCTGGGACTGAACTGAGACAATGCGCCTAAAGCTTTGGGCACAATGTTGTGCATACAGTAGGATGTCAATGTACGCACGCTCCCTTCCCAAAATGTGCTTGAGAGCTGAAGGCCCAAGGGCACCTTCTCTGGGGTTGCCTGGGAAGGCAGCCTGCAAGACGCCTGCTCCCCACCCTGTTCACCTCCTCTTTCCAATCAGTGGCTGAACCACTAGGCCTCTGTGTGCCTAGAGGCTGACAGGGCCTGATGGGAGCCAGTCCCAATAGAGCTGAACATGAGGACTGATGAAGAGGAGGGGGACACTGCCTGTAAGCTGATGGCAAGGAGGGCAGGGAGAGGTCCCCACTCTCAGCCTGATGTCTGCTGGAAGGGCCGGGGCACCATCTAAGTGCATCTTCGGTGGGACCTTCCTTTCTGTGCCAAGGTCACTCTGCTGCTCTTGGTTAAAATTAGCCTCCTTCTCAGTGCTCTGGACTGCACGTGGCCTTTTCCCATGAACCACCAGGACCTGGCTGTGCACAGACAGGGCCAGGCCCCACACCCTCCTGTTCCCAGAGGCCAGAGTGCCCTGGAGGCTGGAGGAGGGAGGGGCACGTGCACTCACATGTGTACCTGTGGGCGTGGTGGGTGTGCCTGCACAGAAATGACCAAACCTGGGGATCTAGCGAGGAAATCGCGGAACCACACAAGGTTTTTGTTGGTGGTGTCATTCCTTGATTGTGTTGTTTCTTGCTTACCTGCAAGGCTTCCTTGTGACAGCTGACACCGTCCCCTTACTCATTTCTAGACCCAGCCTCCCCCGCCACACACATCACACTGAGATTAAGAAGAATGTGTAGTGTCCTTGCATCCCAGAAAATCCCCAGATGTTTATGAAGTGAATGAGCAAATAATAAAGCAAACTGAGGGTTGGTGGACTGTCCTCTCTGTTGAGCTGGGCTGTGTATTCCCAGCCCCTGGCATAGGGCCTAGTACATAGAAAGTGCTCAGGGGGTATTTTCAAAGACACAAAGTAACAGGCAGTCACCGTATTGCTCTTTGTTCACATTCTGTGCCTAGCAACATATTAGTGCAAAACAACGTGCTCAGTGGGGGCTCAGGCAAGGATGGTTTGAGTCTCAAGAAAAGCTGGCTGAGGTCGAGAGGAAAAGAAGCACAGTGGTCAAGGCTCTGGGATCAGATGGACTCAGGCTCAAGTCCTGCTGAGCAGTCAGCTCCTGAGCCTTCTCCTCAAGTGTTAAGCAAACTCCCTAGGCTGTGGACTCACCTCGAGTGGACCAGACCCCATT